TGCTACACTGTATGCTTACTTGCTACATTGTATGCTTACCTGCTACATTGTCCCTCTTTGATCGTACTTTGGTCTTTGCTTTGGTAACATTTTGAAGCACCATGTGACTACAAAACAAAGCAAGCAATGAAATTGCTGTTAGTAAATTGTACCCAACCACATACCACGTATTTTAAACACGAATTAGAATCTCCTATGATCTCACCATGCATGCAGACCAAATTTCTTTCTTAAATACATGTAATCCCTTAGAAAAAACAGCTGTAGCATGAATATCTTTGCATTAATTTTCCGTTTCTTGAAGAAATACAAAGTCACAAAAAACAGTATCCAGTAGTGCCAACTCTCCTTAATGCAGAAAAGAAAATATAGATTGTCAACAGCCCTTCATGTAAGGTTATGTATTTATCATACTCCATGAGTATGTAATCAATTACTTCTTCTAGAGCTCTCAGTTTCCTTGCAAAATATTTGCACATTCAATTCTATTACTCACTTAAAATCTCCGGAGGCGAACTTGGCTTCTGCTAGAGACAATGATGCCAGCTTCATCACGTCACCCATTAATGTCTTGGTCTGGAAGTAACCAAAATATACCAAAAATACTTGTAAAATAAAAAGTGGTAAATTGTGGTTTTAAAATCTGACAATCTAAATACTGTGCATGATATGAAAAACTGAGAACAAAAACTTGCAGTGGAAGAAAACAGACTGGTCTACAAAATAACTTGAGTCAGGAACATGTGGTGCATGTATCTGTCTCAGTGTTATACATTCAATCGATATGATATGAAAACGGGCGATCCACAATAGTGCGCCTCCATGAGTTTGCAATACGTTGGCCAATCACAACACGTGAAATCTGCCGACCCTTTCCGAATGCGCATTGGGTCGACAAATTTCGCATACTGTGATTGGTCAATGCGTTGCAAACTCTTGGAGGCGCACTATTGTGAAACGCCTGTATTGCGGCCTCAAAACGGTGACGTACCCACATACTCATCTTTGCCAACGTTACAGAGATTTTGGCCAACTGGTTTTAGCCGTGAGTAAAAACGGCCCATTGTGTCATACATACATGTATAATTAAAGGTTACCTTCAAGAGCATTTCCTCAGATTTGAGAAGGGCCCTTGATAGTTTTTTTGAAATTTGAACGATTTGGCACAAAATCAGCCTCATTCTGTTGCACATGATCAGAATCCTAAACTGCCCAATAATGTCAACTGGAACAAACTATGAACATGTGCATTTATCTCAGCACTGATAGCTTAAACATGTTACTACATAGGGCTCCAACGTGTACCAAGTATTTCAGCCAAACCTCAACCTGAACCCCCGAGGCCTTTTTGCGAGACACCATCCTCAATCCTCCAATATTTCTTGAGTATGCTCCTTTGTGGGGTACCCACAGCCTCAATCCTTCAAAATCCTCTGGCAATTCCTGTCACTGTGTTGAGGCAGTACAAATGGTATAATCCTGAAGCAGTATGGACGATTTCAAATATAATGTAGGCATGAATTTAAGCATGGCTGCACACAAAATAACTATAACCCACAACCTTGACACAATGCATCCTCCGCAATCAGCCACACTTTTTTGCCATTCACCTTCAATCAGTCAAAATCCTCCAAAACACTGACAAGATTTTGGAGGATTGAGGATGGTTAGGTTAATTTTTCTGGAAAAGTCAACTTCCCTTTCCAAATGTCACAGAATGACAAATGCTTCTAAGTTCAGCATACAGCTTCTGACTTTGTTTTATAGGGAACATCCCCTTTTCATTGACCTGAGGCGAAAAAATCTACCTCAATGATTTTCCGTAGAATCTGCCGGAACCGCAGTGTCAGCGCATCGGCCTTCTTCTTCAGCAGACTGTGTCCCTTCTGAGCTCCTTTTAAACGACCCTTCATGTTTGTCAAGGCCCTGAGGGAAAAATAGAACAACCCAGAGATGCTGGTTATTACAGGAAGGTCAAAGATCAAGAATGTGATCAGAAGCAGTAGCTAATGAGGAGATAAATTAAGGCATTCATTTCAAAGTACGTCAGAGTTCTGTATATAGACAACAACTAATTTTCCCTTGCAGTGGTTTATTAACCATCAAAAAGTGACAGAATGTCCTAAAAAGTCAAATTTAACAGGGAAAATATTACAGCATTTACTAAGAAAACACATTTTTTAGACCAGTGTCACGGCATTTAGGCATAGGGTGTTTAAGTGATGTCCAGATATGGAACTCTTTCCCAAAGTACATGGACAACTATTCCTGGTACATGTTCCCTCTCGACGAAAAGTGACCATATAATTTACCAAGTCTGACAATCCTGTTTCTCCACAGCCAAAAGAAGTGTAGCGAAAGTGCGACTTAGTTTAGTTTAAAGGATTGGTCAATTGAGGGGAGTCCCCATGTGAGTAATGTCACGGGGAGAGTCATGTGGACAGTGTGTGCAGCGTTGTGATAGGCTGCATGCTGTCCAGCCATGCCATGTGCACGAGGGAGTGTGTGCGCAGTGCAGTGAAGAGAAGCCATAAGGTAAGCAGTCTTTGTTCTTACTGAGTGCTAGTTGTGTATGGTTGACTGAGGATAGCTGCACGCGATGTGTGTATGGTTGACTAGGAGACCGCTATAGATCCTGGCAGGAGATGTCATGTTAATGGTTAGGCTTTCTAGAAAGGCTGATATCACCGCTAGGTTACTGCCAGTGGGAAGTGTATATTCGGCCTAGTAGCGTTCTTCGTTGGTGCAGGGAATAAGCTAATTTTTGTTGCGTTCCGTGTTGATGCGTGGAATAGAGGTAGTAAGCCACAGCTAGAGTAATGGTCGCTCTTCGTAGAGGCGACCTAGTCAACCACATGTGTAGTTAGGATAAGTGGTCTGTTCTTCGTTGGTGTGTGGAACGAGATATTCCGCACGTGAAGTAGAGGCTTCACAGGTGCGTTGCGTCAACCAAAAGTTGGTGAGCGTATATCGAGAGACGAGAGTGGCGTTGGTGTTCACTGCTCAGGTGAATAGTGGTGAACTGGGACCGACCACACTTTCTTGCGGTTACGTCCTACATGTATGTGGTTGACTAGAGACACCCGCAGCTGTGGTAAACCACACACGCACTTAAGTAAACTACACATGCATTCGAATAGGCTGCACTGCCCATTGTACATTAGCATCGTAGTAAACCACACAGTACATGCAGTAAGGTGGTCAGCCTTGTGCAAGAGTTAGTCAATCACACATTGGGTTGTAGTCAACATTGCACTTGTGCTAGTCAACCATACGGCAAATTTAATAAGTCATTAAAGGGTCCTACTTGAGTCCACGTTCATCGTCATTTTACTGCCTTTGTTTTTGTTGTACAATAAACCAGAATTGCCTTGTATGTTTCGAAACTAGGTGTCCAGTTGCATTCTTGTTGGTGACTTATTCAGCAGGTTCAGCAATCAATTCCTTCGGCGGTACATTTCCACCCAAACGGGCCTGCATCCCTTTGCCTTGAGGCAGCTTTGTTAGTCTCTCATCCGAGGAAGAAACAAGGTTCGGGAGATCTCGCCACAAATGGTGTCAGAAGTGGGATTGGAATTGATTGAGAAATTGAAGAACCGCTAATAAGTAGAGTAACAAAGAGTAGTTCAGCTACTGTTGGCATTGATTAGGTTGTTTTTTGTTGGATTGTGTAGTCATGAGTCAGCAGCGGAGGGTAATTGGCTCACCTGCTGATAACGTACAGGCACTCGAAGAAGAATTGGGTCGCCTGAGAATGGAACATCAGCTTCTGCAGCTTAAAAAGTCTGCAAAAGAGGCTGAAGTTTCGGTGCAGGGTTGACCCTGAAATACTGTTCCGCGTCCCGAGTAATATGGGATATGAGTCATTTTTTTCGAGGGCGAGGGTGCCAAGTTTGGGCAAGTCGCCAGAGCTAGTTTTTGAGGGTAGGAAGGAGGTGATAGCTGAAGAAGAGAGAGGAGACCCACACTCAACGCTTCAGTAGAGGTGAAAACCCCACTGGCTAGGAAGCCTAGTATGGCAGACGAAGAAACTTTGAGTCATTTGTGTGTTGGTACGGTACAGTCACCATCAACGAATCTGTTCGAAGAAAGACAAGAGGTTCTGACCCCGCAGAAGTTGCGGGCAGAGCTGATGAGTTTTGCTACCTAAATAGGTCGTAGTGACTGACCGGGAAAAGATGAAGTCATCCTGTTGGTGGATCCCTGGCCACTAAAGAGAGAGCCGAGGGTAGTTAATGAGGGTGAGATGCAGGATCGGCTGGGGAGGAAGCGGCATCGTCCTAACATCGTGCTGGATAGGTACAGTGGAAAGGTCTTGTGGAGAGAGTACCACAGGCATTTTGAATCTTGTAAGAAGGCTAACGGTTGGGATGATGACGAGTCCGCTACTTACATTGCCGCAAGCTTGCAGGAAAATGCTCTCAGAGTGTTGAGGGAAAAGACCGAAGGTGGGAAAGAGTACAGTTATGCGGAAATGGTGCAACTGTTGAAGAGGAGGTTTGATTCCGGCTTACAAGCTGAGAATTACTTGGTTGAATTGAGGCACCGTCGGCAAGGGCCGAAGGAGTCATTACAAGAGTTGGGGCAAGCCGTGCGCAAGCTTACAGTAAAAGCCTACCCTGAGTTACAGGAGGATGCACGAGATCGACTTGCCAAGAATCGTTTCCATGATGCCGTAATGAGTCAGACGGTGTGTGAGGGTATTCACCGGGCACGGCCAAAGAACTTACACGAAGTGCCACCTTTGTTTTTTAAACTGGCACTGCCCGTGGTCAGCATTTCATAGTACAGGCCAGGTTTTTCAAGGAACCATACATCAGAAAATTTACGCTTTTGGAAAGCTTTAGGGCGCTCATATGAAAGTCCAAGCTCTGAGGAATACGCCAATGTAAGTAAAATTGTCAAGTCGTTCTCATTTCGGAAGATATTAGGATTCAAAGTTTGTGACAATCCTGCAGTTTGGATTTCAGGCATTTAGGACATGCCTTGAAGTAGGGCTGTGGTGGCGACAGTTAAGAGACAGATTGTAAAAGAGATCCACTACAGCCCTATTTGTGGGGCTACATTAGCACCCTGTTCCTATAATAAGGAAACAAAGTCCACTTTGTCAAACTAACTAACATTCTGACCTTAGGGAACCATTACTCAATCCTGATAGGCCTAGGTTAGGTAAATTTTAACAATATTTATATATCTAACCGAGTTTGGCAAAAGACAACAACTCAGTCAAATCATGCCATTTTTTTTTTCGTCCAGTTACCCAACTCGGGCTTTTTGGATTCATCAAAACAAATATCCATCCAGGTCAAAGCGCCAGACTATATTCACTTATTTTTGTCCTTCACAGCTACCTTCGGGGCTACCTTCTCTCAAAAACCCAAAGCCCTGTGCTCTTTTCTTTCTGATATAAAAGAGGACATCACCAACAACTTGTTTAGATACGTTATTTTGAATAAGTTACTTCCTCATAATAGGAACAGGGTGCTAAAGATAATGAACCCCCTCATCCACGTCTTTTGATAAAAATTCGAAGCAGTAGTAAGAGACAGGACTCGTTTATGGCTACCAGTTATGCGCCGCCCCATACAATCCCATTTATACCAGGCAAGATATGGGACAGAGGGGTACCCCCCTTACCTGTCCAATCCATATACACACTCTAGACTAGTATTGTTACTAGGTATTACACGTACTAGGCTAGGCCTATTTCTTGCTTGGCATGTTTGGCAACATCATCATCATGACGCCGCAATCTACCAGCATGACCAGTGTCTAATACGACAAGAACAAGTTCAGGTGTAGCATTTAGTCTTTTTCAAGAATGAAAACCCAAAAAATACTCACATACGAGATGGAAATACGACAATCTTATCTTTTCCCGACATTTTGACGTAGGCCTAGCTGAGCGCGAGATATCTCGAAAGCTTAGTGAATTCTGTAGGCCACTACGGAAATTACGATATCGTGTATAGATGTACAGTCATGTGAATACAGACTGGCTCCCACATCACCCGTAACGTTTACGTTGCTACTGGAGTAACAGGTGACAAGACCTTGGAAAACCTCAACCTTTAAAGTCGCCACAAGTCTGTTGGAATGTCATTATTATGGATCTTAATTTTTGCCTGGGAAATCGAAAAACGCATGTTTATTTCATTAGAAATCGATGATTAAATTCATGATTAGTTCGCGTTCCATAAATTCTCCAAGACAAGATTTTTTTTACTGTGTTACTACCGTTGACAAAAGCATTTATAGATTTATATCACTCTGGATGCAAATTCGAAAAGATTTGAAGTAAAATCATTGGATTGATCTAGCCCCAGACTAGAGCTAGTCTACTAGACTAAAGGAGCCTCCCTCACCTTTTTTTGGGGGGGGGTTGCCCCTCCTCCCGATTCACCAATGGCCGAGGTACCTTAGGGGTCTGAGATGACCCTCCTTTCAATGTTGCCTCTCCCTACCCCACGAGTACGACCAAAGATGAAATAATGAACTTAACGAAGATGAGGCTGCTCAGAGAATAACACATCAAAAACCTGCATAGTTGAGAATCTAATACTTTTATTCCCACTGAAGCAATATGAAACAGTGACAACAGTTTAGTGGAAATTATGCACAACCCTAAAAACTTTTTTTAGTTACAGGATGAAGCAAATTGGTAATGTTCAAGGCCACCACCGTAACCTCTTCCCAACAATGAACTGTACACTGAAGAATTTACAATGTGACTCTATTCTTTAATAAATAATCAAACTATGCATGCAGTGTTCCTCCACATAACTTGATTTACTGTATAATCACGGCAGTTTTTCCAAATCAACACAAGGAGAGATTGCTGGTGTTGTACCTTACAAAATGTGCTGTACAATAAACTGTGATAAGAAGAAAGATTTGCAACAATTTCCATTAAGAAAACAAGTGCATGAAAAGTTACGTCAGAAAAGGTACAAATTTCTGTGACCACTCACTACCCTAATCCAAACTGTTATTACATTTGTTATTATTACAAATGGGAAATAATAAAACATGAGCCCATGCTCAAGCCCTAAAAGCTAATGATTCAGTCGGTAAAATTTGAATCAGTCATGTTGACAAAAAACAGTCAATGTGTTGTGTGTCTCAACCAGTATTCACCACAACTAGTGTGCCCCTTTAAGTTCACTTTTCCAATCATCTTTACACATAGCCTTTTCACATTATACAAGACTACATTCTGGTGGGCATTTTTAACTCTCCGTTTGGAGACTTTATCTTTTACTCGACACTTCACAGACTGATGTCTAAATACCCCCGGAAATTAGTACCTAAAAATGGAAGTAACTGGTAATGTCTTAAGATCGTTGCCACTCAGGCTGTAAATTAAACTGATTATAAATATTATGTACATCAAAAGCATATCCGCAAAATGCTATGTACACTACAAGGTAATCGGAGGGAACAGTCTTGTGATAAATTATGTCATCGTTTTATCAGTGTGACTGCTATTGGGAGTCAACTGCAACTGTTTCTTACCCTAAGAAGGTAAATTCACTGAATTCTTTATTAGTTTATCAAAAATCGTGTGGTAGATGCACATTCAGAATTCAAATTTGCCAATGTTAAAGACTCTTTCCTTCCTCCATGGTTGCAATGTCACATGATTCTCAGCAACCTGTTGAAAATGTTAGTAAAGGTTTCCTAAACGCTTAATGTGTAAATGACAGAAGGTGCTCTGATTTGTCTTTTGACTGATGTACACAACTGGTCGATACTGCATTAGATAAAGGAGTTGGGGTGAACTATTCTGGTCCATTTATTGCTTTTCTAGCTTTAAGTAACTACGGATGTGAAAACCACATGGTATGCCCTGCTCTTCTGTTGTTTACGTACAAAAGTGACGCAGTACACATATTTGTGTATGGAGCTATTACAACAACACATTTGACAGTAGGTGTGACGGACGCCAAGGCAGCTGACTATTTGAGGAGCTGGAAGGTATAACACAGCATCATCTGGGGGGAAAAGTGTATTTCATTGCTTAGGCCACCGCAGGAGTCATTTGACTCCCAAGAGCTGATTGATCTATGATACGTGGCTATGTCTGAATCAAATAGCTGTAGCCGAGTGCAATGCATCCAACTCTGGGTATTAGCAACAGCCACTAGCCAGCTGCCAATGTCTTGGCTTCAATCCCATAGGTACCCATGTTATCTCCAGCCACAGTCAGTACATTAAGATGTGGCATATAATCAGATTCAGGAATATGGCACCCAGGTTCTCAGTTCTGGCCTTGATTTCAACTTCTTTGGCAGTCTGTACAATTAGGCTCAATATCTACAAGACAGGGCATTAGTTTACATTTTGGACACCATTATTCCAGTCATTATGCTTTACCACGTAATTTCCTTCATAAAAAACTATACTCTTAACAAAATTAAATGGCTACACTAATATTCAATATGGTATCGCTGCTAGCTGTCCGGACATGTCTAAATCAGGGTTTCATATAGAAGTACCAGTTAGCCAGGATTTTGAGCTAATTGTGGGACGTTTTAATCTCTGTTATTCAGATGGCAACCTAAATGTACCTTATGCCTGAGACTGTATCTGGTGTCATGAACTACCCTCAAAATCACTGACTCCCTTCAAAGATTATTTATAATCTCAACTCTAAGAATGTTTATACTCTGAACAGAAAAAAGTAACTTATAATTAATAAAAAAACCAAGAACACTCAAACTTAACAAAGTTCTGCTATCTCTACAAACTATGACACAACTCTTGGCTAATAAATAACCATCTGTTGATTGCAGGTGCGAGGCAAAGATACGTCTTTCATGACCTGCTAAAAGACTTGTCATATGAATTACAATGAACTACAACAAAGTTGCTACTACAAAAATACAGAGGTAGAGTGATAATACAGGGATGATTTTGAAACATCTGTCCATTAAATAGATCAATAATGCACATTTATCCACCTGAACAAATATGATTGGAACTGCCCAAAATATGCCTCTATACCATGTGAATGTTTGAGCCTGTTGAACCTTATTTCACGGCAGTGCTAAGCATATGATTTTCTGCTTGGGTAATGTTGATCCTTTTCACACAGACAAGAAGTGCATGTAGTCACAGTAAAAAGCACAACTATGGGCTCCACAGGAAAGCTCTCTTGTTTTTTCCTAAAACAACAGCCTCCATTTGAGGTGGCACACTTGTTACTGCGTTGCAGAGACTACATATGTGTGGATATGTAGACATCACAGGGGCAAAGTCTGTCCCCACAACTTGGCCTGCCTTTCTGAACAAAAACAAATTATCCCCTTAAAGCAGGGAAGGCCCACCCACCATATCTTGTGTTCTATATAATATGAGCTTTTACAGATAAAAACATCTTACTGGTAACTTCAAGACTTTCCAGATTTTAAACGACACCATTTGAAAAATCCTGAAATTAGGAAAATGACAAAAAAATGCTTACATCATAAAAAAACTGACAAATCTCAACCCTCCATCATGCACTTGTACTTTAAAAAAAATACAGTTTTTGACTGGTTACGGAAACCCAAACACTGTTATACAAACATGGACTGGCAGTAAGGTCGAAAGTGCATGTCTGTACTCCCTGAGGGACTGTGAGTGACCAGAAGAGGGTCCCCCTCCTGGTCTTTCGGTAATAGGATCCTCCCTCTTCTACTCAGTCAAAGTCCTCGGGCAGGCTGAACAGATGTCGGTTGATGACTTCATTGCCAGTTCCTATGTGTATGATATGAGTTGCTAATCACGAATGGAGCAGAAGAAGCCTGAATATTCTTATCACCAGGACAAAATGATGGAGATATTGATGCACGTGAGAGTTTGAGCCTATCTCAGTCTTGAATTATAGTTGATGTGAACATAATTTATCTACTAATTTACTGCATATCAGTGAAACAGGTTCCTGTTTCAAGGTCTATGAATTAGCGTAGCACTGCCACTCTTTGGAGCTTCTAGAATGAGAACATTCAACCCCGAGATTCTGGCAGATCATGCCTATCATGTTAGATTGCTATTCACTCATATATTGTGAGGTCAAGAAAATTATATTTAAAATGACACGGCTCAAAATTGGCTACATCCAGAGGACCAGTCACTGGCAAAATAACAGCTGAAAGATGTTTTTAAAAAAAGCCAAAAAAAAAAAGAGAAAAAAATTCCCAAACAAATTTTTAAAAAGACCTTAATAATTGGCATCACAAATCATGACGTCACATTCTGTAAGACCATTGCAATATGTTGACATTTACATTGTACATGTACATCATTTTTCAATAGTATGAATTACCAGATATCTCACACAGAGCAAGTTTGTACAGAGTGCTTAATGTCTGTATACCGTGTGGGTGCGCCAACCTTACATACCTAGTGTGGACCTGTGAACAACAGATGTCCACACGATGCAGGAAAGGAAGACGTTCTGTGGACTTACATATGTCCACAGGACGTTTCCCCTTCTCTGAACAAGAAGTTTAGAGGCATTTGGGGGTTGGGGTCATCCGTCATAAAAGGAAGCGGAATAGTCAAGGAACCCTTATACAAAAAGCCAGCTGAAAATCGTGTTCCCAGTTCAAGAAAAACAAGTATTTTCACTGAGTTTTTAACTGCACGAAAAGAGAGGAATGTCCACTCTAGGTTTGCAAGGTAAGTGTGCGTGTGTATGTATTCAGACTTCTATGCTTCTAGTTTGCCATGGAAATTATTCTGCAATTTTTCTTAAAAAGGCAGCATCTCATGAAATTGACTTTCTTTTCAGTGAATCTCTCTGGAATAGTTTGATAGCTATACAAAATAATCACAGCTTCTGAATCAATAGACCTGTGATATAACAACATCATGCTTTGTTTACACGTGTGTTTTCCTATGGCAGTGAGGTGGGATGCAATCCATCAAGCCCCCATCGGAGAGCACACAGGTAAACAAAGCCTGACATCATTGTTTTGAAGTCTATCTGAACTAAAGCTGCATGCTACTATACATTTCAAGCCACAAGCCTATTTTTGAATCCACAAGTCCCAATTTTTGATGAGTGAAAACAATTCATTCACTCACTTTATTCCCTTCCCCCTCCCCCCAAAAAAGAAATCCAAACCACCCAAAGCCCCCAATGCAATCTGTGAATTGTTCCTAGTGCTTTTTAGTTTTTTTTCAGGGTAAACTCCTGATGTGGACACTACCAATGCAAAGATAGAGGATGCAACACATCAATCCTTCCAAAAAAAGAGCTTTAGAAAGGCCAGAGCTCTATCCCAAGTTTAGTTCAACATCTCCAACAGTTAAGTCCGACGGGAAAATGTGCCTCCTAAATTCAGAAGATTGCATTGCTGTGGACAAGCATCTCAGAATGTCAACAGAAAAAACAAATACTGGAAACCAGGAAGGCCTGTAGAGACAAAACACTGTCAACCTGTCATTACATCTGTTTTCTCGCAAAGGAAATGTACAAAGATTGTAAATTATAATCCAACGGAAGTGTAGTGGCAATGCCTTGCCTTTTTGGAAAAAGACAAAATTTGTTTGCCCAATTCCCAGCCCTGCATGTCTAAAAAGTCTACAACCGCTTGAAAAGAATTTAAAGATACATGTAGAAAACATCTCCCCACATGTCTCCCACCACTCCGGTAATTCCTGTTGTTGATCCACAGTAAACAGCTTCCAGCACGTGACCCTTTCTCTTCGGGAGGGATCTGTAAATTTGGTTATCCTCATGCAGAAATGCTAGCCAGCAAGATATCCAGAAATAAGCTTTTTGTTGGAGACGTTTTTAAGGTAAGCTTCTGATCCTTGAGTGGAAACATCTGACTTGGCCGACGGCAGTGTTCTCCTCAAGAAAGCTCCTCACTGGGAAGTGGACTCGGCTTGGCTCCCAACCAGCTGAGGTGGGGGTCCAGACAGGGGTCCCATCATTGGGGGTCTGCTTCGGGCTAAGGGGCCAGAGGGAGGGGCAACGCTGGGCCGAATCAGGGGCGGAGGCTGTTGAAGAGAGACTCGAGGGGAAACAAACCTACAAGGAAATCCAGATGAAAATGAAAGAGAGCAGACAGATGTAGATAACAAAAAGACAAAAAGTAACAAAATAGGATGGAACAGCTAACTCTCAGCATGTTAAAAAGCTGTATATAGTTCCTTAATATTAATATATATGCTAATGTAAGACCTTTAAATTACAACCGTTGTGCACGTTACACATTTTCAACACAATGCCAAACTATATGATACATCAAAATCAAGAGCTAAGTTTGTTTTTTCAACATCCATATGTAAACAAAATTACTGAAAAAATAGCCTAAAGACTGATTTTGTAGAATGCACTCAAAACATAACATTTCACCTATGGTCCCTCTTTTTTCAAATCAGGGGCTTCAGTATGTAGACACCAATTTGGGAGAGTTGCACGTTATTTTCCCATACAATTACTTCACACCAACCTTTGTTGAGCCTGAAGCGGTGGGGGTCTGATTGATGGTGACTGGCCCGCTGGTCGCAGTAGTGGAGGGGGCGCGTTATTCGAGCTTCCTACCGTCTGTGTGGTTGATGTTGTGACTGATGGTGCACTATCTGTCTGTTGCTGTTGACACAGAAGCAAAAAAGTCAAAAGGAGAAGCCATCATCACACTGTCACGAAGAGTCACCACGTGGAACAAATTATTATTCTGAAATTGTTTTTCTCACTCCTGCGGCCTTCACATTTGATCTTTTGACCCTCAAACCAATCCTAGCTTCTCAAGTTTCTACATGGAAGCTGTTTATATTTCTCAAGACAATTACTTCAATTTTTGATCTGGTGGTCACTAAAACACACCAACCTTCCTTTCACTGATCACATGTCTCGTAAAAAAAATGAAAAATAATAAAAAGACAACTTATCATCTTGAAATCAAACATAGAACCTGGCAAGGATGGAGAGAGGGGTGAGACGGCAAAAGCCAAGTCTTGGTCATGTCTCACCTCTGCTTCTTCTTTACTTTTCAGTTCTTTGAGCTGTGCACTGTTGTCTGCTTCCCACTCCTCCAAGACCTTGTCCAGGTCAAAACGGCGGCGAAAGTTCACCATGAAGCTGCGACACTGTGCTGCATTCTTGTTGCCAACAACGTCGGCTATGGCTTGGTAATCACGACCATACTTTCTGATTGCTAGATGGGCAAAATGTGATCGGAAAGCATGACATAACACCTTTAGAAAATTTTACAAGATTGAATTGTCTATTAAATTTCTAATGCAACAGAATGACGTGAATTACCATGGTTACCTTTTGAAAGGAAGATTACAAAATGTCTGGATAGAAATCTTGATATCTTAATTACGTTCTGTACGATACTTAAACCAAGAAAACCCACACACTGGAGACAGATACCTTGTACAGCAATAAGCTGTTCTTCGCTGGTCCAGCGGGAATTGTTTCGAGGTGCTGCATCCGTCAGTCGGTAATCATTTAGATCAAATAGCTTGCTCCTTTGCTGTCCAAGGAACTGCTTGTTCAGCTGGATCTGAGATTGACATGAAAAGAACAACGGAACTAAAGGGTTAACCTCTCCAGTAATCCATGCACAATATTCTGTCAGTTTGACTTTGTTAAATGTATTCAGTTACTTTGTAATGCATATCCTTGCATTTGCACTACTGTTTTCTCAAATCCCAACTTTGAATTGAGATTAGAAAAAAAAACATGCAATTCACTGCTGTTGCTAATGCTTAGCTGACCCAGTTCCTCCTTAACTACTTCGCGCCGGTGGCAGTTATCAATGTTGATGATGCTGGGACGGGATAATTATCATTTTTTTTCTGTTTTCATCTTCATTTACTGGACACTTACAGCAACACAAAGGACTGTCTTGTTTCTACTCTAATCTGACAAAAAACATCTATCGATGCTGGAGTATTTCAGCCATGCCTGCCGCCTTGTAAAAAGAGCCCAGATTTCGCGGTGTTATGTAAGTTTCTTTTGTTCACGAAACTGGCACAGTGCGCTGCTGACCACTTTTCAATAGGGGTCAGATTAGCGTACAGCGGTATAGTGTGGCTCATCGCTGCGGTGATGGACCACTTTTGTCCCCGATGGTAATCTGCTCGTGCCAAATCCCCAAAAACCGTGGTATACTGTTTCAAAACAGGGCTGGATTATCTCCACTATTGAGAGTGAAAAATGTCGGTAATGCCCAGCAGCCTGGTCTTTTGTTACGAGTACAGTCTTTTGTTACAAGGCCCAGTTCCCTTTGTCCTATTTCAGAGACCCTGGCCACCCATATAACGGATACGTGTCCGGTACCGGAAACCCTGGCGGCAAGTGGTTACAAAGAATTGCTGACCTACCTGTCTCTTCAGGTTGATTATTTCAGCATCCAGGGCCTTAAAGATGGAATCTCCCTGGTTGGTGGTCATAGCCATCAAGTCATCATGGTCCAAATACATCCCCTTGGGGGGCTTCTTCTTGGTCCTGAAGGGGTGATGGCGGTGACTAGTGGTCTCGTTACGTACGGGGCCGACATGGGTGCGCATAACACCAGTCCGCCTGTGCATGCGAATAAAGGAAACTATCAAAAGTGATTGCTACATGTAAGACTCGCATCACTTGAAAGTAAAAATGGAGGGTCTCCAAACTTGGAACACTTCAAATACTTTTAATGGTTAGCAAAACATCCTCCTTGGTGCAAAGAAAATGCTTGAGATGCTGTTTTGAGCAGTGCCTCTTCCAACAAGACTACAAACTCTGTCTTCAATGACACACAGGAAAGATGGAACACCTTGCAGACCACATTTTTTCACGGCACTTAGAATGAAAAAGTGCTCTTTATTGGTTTTGTTTTTTGGGGGGTCACAAGATCCATGCAGTATTCTGAAAGAGAACTTTGAATCATTGCTACCAACTAATCCTCAGCCCTCTGGCCTCACAGTACATTGTCACCAAACTGAATATAATCCTTACCTCCAAAAGCTGTAGCAAGCATTGCAGAGTAAGCCTTTTGGTGTGGTGTGTAGCTGGCTGACAGTGCTAGCACAGTTGGAGCAGATGCTTTTGGTTGATGCTTCAGTCTGTGGAGTCTTGAAACCAGGAAAAAAATCAACAACAGCATTAAATCCATTTCAACAATACCTTTTGAGAAAATTGAGCCCATAAATGACTACTTAACACGAACCTTACCTCTAAATCAAATCCACCATGTAGGCTATAAGCCTTGATTAACCCTCCTTTGGTTTTACAGCACAAATATGCACAAGTGCCCAAGGTCACTCTCTTGCATGTTGGTGCAGTGCACAACACAACACAGCTGTGCTTTTTTGAGGTGTTTACCAAGTGACCCAAAGAGAGACTTCAGCATAGGAGGGTTAACACAACAAACAGTAGCTGTGACTTGTGAGCTGCTTGCGCAGTATTACAAGATCCTATGGGTCAACTATCCCCAAAGTCTTACAGGCTCAGATTCCCAGCCTGCAAGCTACTGTACCACAAGAGCCAACAGTAACCTTGGCCAAGGGAAACAGCTATCACCATCTGAGGACTGCAACTTTGATAACAGAATGTGACATAGTCCCACATTTCACTTTGAGTTGAACAGACCTGCAGGGTTCTAAATTCAAGCAGATTACGTTGCTGTGTGGAACTATGGTTACTGTAACCATGTCCACATTGCCGAGGACCAAAATGAAATTGTGGGCCCAATTTACCTTGGATTCTTTCTCTGGATCAAAGGTTTCGTCCATTTTCTCATCTGTTTTCTCTTCAGCATCCGAGACCTCACTAGTGGTAAGAAAAACACAGCTATTAGAAATCGGGGACCAATTCCCTTTCTTGAGAATCCATCAAATCAGGGGCTCAGGTATTAAGTTCACATTTATAAAGGACCCAATCTGAAGGTACAGACTGTGTTCAGTTCAGTTTTATTCAAGAGAGTGATTCTGACGCATTTTAAAAAACACTTATCAAATTGCAAAGGAAGAGTTGTGAACCCAATACATTTAGCTTGTTACGTTGATAATTTTTCTCTGTCTGATCTCTCAAAATTACCTTTTTATCTCACTGGGATATCCTCCTTCGTATCTTGAAAAAAATCACAACCAAAATATTACTCCAAAGGATAACAATTAAATATTGGATTTTTCGCCCCTTTGAATTTCATTTCCATAAGTATGCCTACCACAAACTGATCAGAGATCTTGACTACATGCGTTGTTTTAAACTCCCTTCAAACGAAAACAGCTCAGCCATCTTTCTTTCTTAACATGCTAAGAAACTGTTTCTGCACAGAGAGACAGTGGTCACTGTTCAGAGAACACAGGTTTCAAATTACTGCCCCACTCCTCCTTCACATTCAGGTTTCACTAGCTCATGTAAATGTTACCTCTCATTTTCTTTCTGGCCACCAGCCAGCTTCCTCGCTTGCCTGTCCATTAGACTTGTACTGGTTCGAGTCTTTTTCCACTGGTAGTAGTATTTCACAAGACAGCTGATTGACTTATCTGGCAGCTGCGTAGACGAGAAAAAATGACCAAGATGAAATGCAGCTATGTTTCTCTAATGCCAATCTCTTTTCTTTTCGTATTACCAGTACTGTTTCTCTTATTTCTCAGTGATTCTAACAACATGTAAATATCTTGTTTTCCATCGTACAACGAGCAAGGTAATACTGCAAATTAAACCATAAACTAAAAATACTTCTTCCATACTTAGCAGAAACTGACAATAATAACTGGAGAAAATATTACACCAGAGAAAGTTACAGTGCCAAATATTGTTGAACGATTAGGTGATCTCGTCACCACAGTGCATGTACACATGCAAGACACCCTATGCTCACATTTTGTGTTGCTAAATTTCGTGTTCCTTGTTTATTTCACCATAAGAAACATTTCAATTCACTTGTTTCAACAGTGCTTAATCACAAGCAAGGCTATTGACAGCATGGGCATCATGGGGGTAGGAATGCAAGAGAACTCCTCCCCCCACTGGAAAAATGGGAGGGGGTATAAATACAAGATACACAACAAAAAAGATAGGAGGAAGGTGGGGTGAAATTCACCAATTTGTATGAAACCACCTCGGAATCGATCCCCTACCACTACTGTCGGTTTGTCAGTTCTCTGCTGATGAGTACTTTGCCCTCCCTCCTAAAAAGTGATTTGCCCCTTCCTGGAGCCACCTACGACTGAAAGCCAGCTCACATGTACTACCACCAGTCCCAAGCTGTCAACTGTGTTCGGGTGAAGTTAGTCCGACTAAACCACAGTCGGCCACTGAACCCGTGCCCTACATACCTAAGGTTAGCTCATACCTCCAACAAGCAATCACCCACTTACCATCTGCCTGATCCGGTGAAAACTTTTCCCATGGAAGCTAAAGGCCTGCTCAAACAGCACCTTGTCCTCCACGGACCACTCATCGGGGAAGGGTGTGAAGTTGGGCAGGTCGGCCAAGGACTTGTCTACGTTATGCTTGTGCCAAAATAGCATGCCCAATGCCTGCTCCGTGTTGTAGCCATAGCGCTCCTTAGCTAACAAGATATACTCATCCACTACGGTGTAACAAAATGTACACGCTTTTGTTTAAATCACGCTTTTGTTTAAAGTCAGCAACATGAGGAAAGATCAGAGACAAAATTCATTCTACTTTTCAAATTGTACACTCATCCCCAAAAAGAGCCAAAAATTACAACTTCTTGAAATTTAGAGGAAAAGAGTGCACACAGAAGGGTATTTGGTGAGTTCAAATGAATTTGAAAGGGGTTGACAAGTTTCTTACACTTAGCATCAGAGATGTCTCCATTAGGCAACCAGACCAACAATGCCTCCTGTCTGCTGTCTCCACGACGAACTGCTGGAACATCTGTGAACAATCCAACTTCAGGGAATCACATTTGAGCACATTACATCAAATAGTCTGTTTGTAAGTCTAGCACACAACCAAAATGTCAACTACAAAACATACACAAGTTAAACATTTCATACTAGATCAGATTGCAAACTGAAAGAAACAGATGAAAAAGAAACTCTATTCACATACTGATGATACTAAATGTCAATCACATTGAGTAATGGTGGAACAGTATGACAACCACTGGCTAAAAGTAGCCCACTGGGATGATCTGAGGAGTAGTCTATTTTACTAAAGCAAAGATGAGAAGCAGACTGTACCACAAATGAGTGACCTAGGGAGAGTAATTCTACTGTCTGCTATTAGCCCAAAGCAAAGCAGTCGGTTCATGAGCATCTACATGTATTTGTTCCACAACATGTTGGGAACCCACCGACTCTGATCAGTCACAGGGATTTTCTGGAGCTACATGTATTCAAACCAAGACAGAGGTGCTGGCATGACTGGGGGTCTGCAATGATATGGTTAATTACATAAAGCCAAATGACCAGGGAAAGCTATTATGAGTAAGGCATCGTAATTCCTAACAGTACCACATGTACTAATTTCTTCAGCTGCAACACAGCAAATGAATGTACATGTACTTCGCCAATCAAAAGGTAAATTAATTTCAACCCTGAAGAAATTATGAAACACATTTGATTTCTGCAGTTTTAAGTGTCCCCCCCCAAAAAAAAAGTGGGAGCAAAAACCAAACAGACAATTTTTATTAAGGCAAAATTTATTGTTGGTAACCGGTTACATTGACTTACCGGTAATCATTTCAGGTATCTCTGCCTGGTAATCAGCACCAACTCGCATTCCTGGCTCTGGAAAACAGTTTGTATATGAGGCATAATGTGGACAGTTTTGATTATGTTCACTATTTTTTTAATCAACATCTTGTGATAATATACCATTTCTCCAATTTGTGAATTTAAAACTTATATTGAAACAAACATTTACAGAAACTCACTTCTGTGAAGGAGCACCTCCTTTGTAAAGTTTGAAAAGTGTCATCTATAATGCATTATGGGTACATGTACCTGATATGACAATGCATTCAGATATTTTCCTTAAATATTTTTATACTTCACATGTCAACTGAATTTGACACTGTAAACACCTGTATTCAAAACAAATTCACAATAGGGTTATGCAGCGGAGGTGAGTACTAAAGCACCTGACTGTTATTTTCTGGAATCAATTTCAAATTATGGCAGTAGGTACCACTTGGCCTTTTTGCTATGTACCCTCCTCAATCCTTCAAAATTCTCTGCCAAAAAATTGCATACTGTCTCAATCCTTTAAAATTCTTCAATATTTCCTAAATATGCTCCTCTGTGAAAGTTGAGGCACCTTGAAGAAAGTGCAAGAAATGATAATCCTTCCTGCATAAAAAAATCTTTTAACTTTCCACGTAAGAAACCTTTTCCAGAGCAGTGGCACCAACACGTCAGATAAGTCTAGAGTTAAACAGTGCAAATGGATGGACAAACTTCTCATCTCAGGTCGTTTGATCACTCTTCTTATTTTTAATTTAACCCTTCATCAAAATTAGCCTGTGAAACAAATCAGTCATTTGATTGATAGAATCATCAAAAAGGTATGATTAAACAACTGAAAAAATAACCTGTTGGCCTTCAAAAATAACAACCATTAAACTTCACATAGCTCAAGGGTGAATCATGTGCTTACTTTCAACATTAGAAAGCATTATTTTGGCCAATCATTTCATTAGTCATGCAGTGTATTACTATCCAGGTATGTATTGTTTCAAACAGGAAAATATCTACATGTACATGTACATGTATCTCCAATAACCCCTCATGTACATGTATTATCCTCCCAAACCCCCACATAGGGGAATCCGTACCCCCAGAACTGTGGGGTCCAACGTTTGCCCCACTCCCTCATGGGAGCAGGGCGGACGTCGGACCCCACAATTCTGGGGGTCATAGGGGGGTAGGGGAATCTGCACACTTATTCCCTATTGCACACGTGTTGAGTAATGCAAAAAAATTTGTTTTAAATGGAAAATAAACCAATACACCTGTCACCTTGTCAGTGTACAAAACGTTTTGAACCTAAAAAATAACAATTGGGCCTCAAGATAAATTCCTGTACGCGATGAACATCCTAACAGTTTTCGTTACAAAAAGAGATCGCATTATTTTTAACTTACCCTAAACCCGGAGGTTTCAACCCTCCTTTGGTTTTTACAGCACAAATGTGCACAAATGCCCACAGTCACTGGTGAGCATGTACAG